CGTGAAACACATTGCCACTGAACACCACCGCAGAGTCGTGCTGGATCACCAGCTCATTCATCGCAACACACGACGGCTTTCTAAGAACCAAACCCGACCGAGGGATCAGCCTCGTGGCCGTAAAGCGGTTCCCGCTGACCGTGATGTTCGTGTGCGGTGGAAACCCACCCTCCGGGCTGAGCAGCGCGTCACTAAATGTGTTGCCGGTGACGACAATGTTCAGCGACCCAACAGCGGCGTGTGCGTTGCCCAACAGCACCAGCACGGCGCCGTCCCTCCACGTGCATCCATCGAACGTGACGTTCGCCACTTCGCCCATCATCGCCCCTATCAGCACCGTCAAACTCATGCCGCCCCCGCTGAACGTCACGTTGCGGTAGCACAGCCACGACAGCCCGCCGCCCACTGCCTGCGCAACCTCGGGGTACACCATGTCGCTGATGCACCCACCAACCGGCGGCGATGGCGGTGGCGGTGGCGGTGGCGGCGGTGGCGGCGGTGGCGGCGGTGGCGGCGGTGGCGGGCCAGCAGGCACAGGCGCCGGGACGCACACATCGCCGTGCCCTCCAGCAGCGCACTGGCACTTGCAGTCCTTGACCGCCGTCGTCAGCGGTGCAAAGCAGACGCCGTCCTTCGTGCACTCCCCGCACGCGGCAACCGTCGTCACGTTGGTGATGCCGTGGAGCGTCAGCTCTGACGCCGTCGTCAACACCCGTCCCGCGACCGTCAGACACCCAGCAACGAACCGGTAGCCGGCGTCAGCCTGCGACAGCAGCGAGACCGACAATCCCGTCGAGCCCATCTTGCAGCCCGTCAGCGTCACCACACTGCTGCCGTCGATAATAACAAAAGCGGACTCAGTGTCTTGAAACATCGCACCCACTTCCACGTCGTTGTCGCGCCAATCCAACCAGCTTGACTCCCGGACATTCCACAATTCTTCATTACGGATGACGTAGCACACAGAGCCGCTGTTCCCCACCATGCGCAACACGCTGTGATCCGACACGCTGAATCCGTAGTACTGACACAAGAGGCTCGTCCCGGAGGACATTGTATTTTTGAGCAGCACAAAAACAGAATGATTGCGGACACTCAGCCTGTGTATGTAAAACATGTGCGCGTATTTATCGAAGCTGCAGTACTGCACGTACAGCGAGCTGCCACCCACCAGCCTCAGCGTCCCGGTAGAGTGCAAACCAAACGCGCGTTGCCTCGTTGCACGCGCCC